AGATTGAGTTCAATATCCCTCTGAAGAATGAAAGACAAATGCGGGGGCGCATTTTACAAAGGATTGATTAATGTCAAAAACCTTATCCTTTTATTAAAACAGAACGTGTTATTTATGATGCCAGTGGTCATGAGAAGTAATGATTTGTTGTCCGGCGTCAGGGTAGTAAAGTAGATATCCCTCATTTCAATTTCAAGATAGTGTCAGTTTTTCGGCTGTTTTTCTCTGCCTTTTTCTGAATTGTGTTACATTTAACTGGATTTGTTTCAGAGATCAAAGTAGTTATCGACATGCGAATGTGGATCCGATTTCGCGAAGGATATAGCTGTTGCCTCTTGAATCACTTTTCAGTTACCTCTTTATGGTACAACATTTTCGTGTCTCTTATCTTTCGATCGTGATTACTTCCTTCTAATAGGCCATTGCCTTTTCAAAGCCAATACTCTTTCTTGTTATTACTTGTTACCTGTTGTTATGATTGATCTTTTGTGAGAAAGCACAATACTGTTGTCGTCATTGAGCATCTAATATGAAATTGGATGTTGATCGTTTTATTGGGCGAATTCCCAGAATAACACGTTACTAAATGTAGGCTAGCCACTATTTATGGTATTTAAACATTACACTATTTACATTGTAGCGTAAGTTTTAAATGCAAAACTGTGGATTGATGTCTCGAGTTATGAAATTGCTACATCTAAGTCACATTAAAGTGAAAAAATAAATACTAACCTGCCATCAGTGATCATATACAGTGATGATACACAATATACTTTTTTGTACCTTACAACAATTGTTTTCTCGTTCTGTGCCTGGCAACAGCTAATGATTTACGGGATTTTGAATGTGGTATTGTACCGAATTTCAAGCCGAAATAACAGTTCAAGTGAAGTGGTACTCCAGGTGCCAGGCTTGGCAACCTGTTGAAACTAGTGGTCGCGACATCCTTATCCACCATTTATCTGTCGCAATTTTTTCTCGATCTTCAAGTTGGTTTAGGCAAAAGTTATAGGCATTTACAGACAGTGCTACTCAATTACTGTGCAAGACCTAAGGCTNCCGTAGGGGCGGGGGGGGGGGGGGGGGCTCTCACCGTTTCAGAAAACCTGTAAAAGTTCATAAAATTTGTCTATTGCTTTTCATAAAACATGCATTCCAACACCACCACGAATAGTGGAATAGTGAGAGTCAAAGGGTGCTGCGCTTATACGGCAAGAGCTTCATACAGTGGTAATGTGTACCCCTTTTTCATCATCACAAACTAGTCATATTTCCCCTAGTGAGGCCCCAGTATTCTTGCTGTTTTAGAGTTTTGATACGCAATGTCGTTCAGATGTAATTTACGCCAGATCTAATAACACAATACATGCTGCGCTCACCTTGGGAGATATATGCTCCGTGAAACGGGAATATTTCGACACCCCGCGCATCCAACTTGAAGAGTAGCACAATAACAGAAAAAAGGGTTAAATTCGTACAGGGTCTGCTGTTATTGTTAGTTATCACAATTTCTCCCTATCTTCAGCATATTCTGTACGTTGCAAGTTTTTCCTAAGGCATCTGGCGCTTCGCGCAGGCAGATTCCAGTTTGGTGGATGACAGCCGAAATCATGATCCGCGATGATCCATGCAAGCGCTCTGCGGGTATTTGTTAGCTGACTGGTGACGTCGAATAGCTACGATCGTATCCACTAACACTAATCCTCGCGTTCTCCTTGAAAGGGCTGGAACTGAAGGCGTAAGATGGTCTATATGCTCTCGAAGTGGCCTAGAAAGGATCGATAGAGGCAGAGTAGGGCTCAGAAACGAGGAAGGAAAGAGGGTCTTTGACGTGGTCGAGACCTGCAGCCTAGCAATCTGCAACACTTTCTTCCCAAAAAGGAAGAGCCAGAAGGTAACGTACAGTAGTGGAGGGATACAGTCGGGAACGGATCACGTATTCGTGGTGCAAAGTTCTGCCAGACGTAGAACTGACCCTTCAAACAAGCAAGAGGGTAAGGTTAATAATAGAGCAAAGGACCTTGGCGTGGGAGCTTCATGAAATGGAAAAGGGGTCTGTAAGCTTGTCTCCCAGTCTCTTAAACAGCGGTCCAACAAACTTGAAACAACGCAATGAAGGTCATCCTGCTAATGAAACACTGGGTGAGACGCGGGTTGGATCCAAAGAGATAAAGCGACATGGTTCTGGAACGATGGAGTCCAAAGAGTCGTAAAACAGAAGAAGGACGCGTACAAGCTTTGACAAACGACACAATCCCAAGAAGATCTTATTGTCCACAGGGGTTGCAAAGGATCGCTAAGACGGCCGCAGCGAATTTAATCAACGCGGAACTGGACGCTTTGTACGAGAATCTTGACGACTAAAAAGGGGAGAAGTTCGTCTTCAATCTGGCCAGAGCCCTACACCGTGCTACTGAAGACATCGGTGTAATGATGGCCGTGGAGAACAGCGACCACTGAGCCCTGTGAAAGATGAGGATGAGGGTGAAGGCCGGAGATGGAAATAGTCTGAATGGAGTACTACTCGAGCTATGGAGAGCGTTCGGAATGCACGAGATCAGGTGGCTCATCCAACTCCTGAACGCTGTGACTGCTGAGATGGTATCGCACATTCACGGAGAGGTGTTGTCGTCCACATCTTCGAAGGGGGGAGGGGGTGGCACGATGGAGTGCTCTGAATCTTGTGAGATAAGATTGCACCTACTATTAAACTGATACGGCCTGTCAACTTGAGACATTTAGAGCTCGTCCTGGTCCCACAGATACAGTTTAGCTTTTTGACCCAAAGGTCTACATCGAATACCATATTCATAGCCCGAAAAGTGATTGAGAACTATCGAGAAAAGCGTGGAACGTGCAGCCTGCCTTTCCCGATCTGGAGAGGGCGTTCGACCGTCTACCGCGACCAGTTCTCTAAAGAGCGCTCCGAGAACGAAGCGTTCTTGAACAGCTGATTCCTCCGATCAAGGAAGCATACGATAAGTCCAAGATAACCACACTTAGTGACTTAACAAAAGCAATAGGTGTCAAAAGCTTATGAGGGTACTCTAAGAACCAGTTCAGATTCCGTTCCCCCTCCACCCGCTAACAATGTACGTCTCGGCCAGAGGGCTCGTAGATGGATCTCTGAAACAATCTTCTGCTCTGACGAGGGTACAGTGATAGCGCTAGTAGAGGAGAGCTCCAGGACGGGTCACAGTAGAGACAGTACGTGCTGGCGGAAAATGCGCTCTCGGGGAATGTGCGAGTCCATAATTGACTTGGCTGCGAACGGTAGAGGAAAAAAGGCTTGAATAAAACGGAAAAAGTCCAACGGTCACCCCTTCAATTAACTGTGTTTCGAGAGGCTCAAAAGTGGTTATACAAAGCGGTATGGAAGCTTCACATCAGCGAATGCTTGTCCGTAGCGAGGAACCATGAGAGGCAACTCCACACATCAGTGACATTGGGATGGTCCTTCGGTTGGACGCGACTGTATCGGTTTAAAAACGAAGACATCGGGACGATTATGCAAGCACCCCTTGTTCAGTTAAAAAGGGGAAAGCAGTTCTGCAAAGGTATGTGCACGTCTGATAAGACCACAGGATCACCCGATAAAATTGCAAAAAGAGTTTAAAGCTTCTAAGAAGAGGTTGATAAAGAAAGGCTGCGATAGAAGATAGTGGAGATAGGGAGAAATGACGATGACGAACGAGAACAGCAAACTCTGGACGAATTTCACCCTTCTATATGCTATCTTGCTTCTCTTCAAATTGAGTGCGCAGTGCGGCGAAATATTCCCGTTTCACTGAGCACATATCTTCCAAGGTGAGCGCAGCATGTGTTGTGTTGTTCGATTCCGCTTAAATTAGATCTGAATGACCTTGCATATCGGAAGTCCAAAACAGCTGCAAAGTGGAGGCCTGACCAGAGGAAATATGGCCAGTTGGTGTCGATGAAAACGGGGTACACATTAGCACTGAATGAGGCTCTCGCCGAATAAGCGCAGCGCTAATTGGACTCACATTCAGATTCGTCGTGGTATTGGAATGTATGCCCAAATAAACAGTAAACTTTTATGAGCTTTTACAGGTTCTTGGAAACGGTGAGAGCAACCCCCCCCCCCCCCCCCCCCCCCCCCCATCCCTCCCATCTACGGTGGCCTCATGTCTCGCACAGTAAACGAGTGCCACTGTCTGTAAATATCCATAACTTTTGTCTAAACCAACTTGAAGACCGAGAAAAAATTGCGACAGGTAAATTCCCGTTTCACGGAGCGCATACCTTCCAAGGTGAGCGCAGCATGTGATGTGTTGTTCGATCTCGCTTAAATTAGATCTGGATGACCTTACATGTCAACAAAACGGGAAGGAATCTACTGCTAGGCGATGTTCGTAGTTGTAGCACAAAGAGAATTTAATTTATGCTGGCGTCAAATAGGTATTACGATAGCGTGAACCTGTTGGTACGGTGTCAAAGACCAAGAGCAAGGTGGCAAAGGAAGATACTGAAGACAGGGAGATTTGATGATGTCTAAAGAGGACAGCGGACCCTGGGCCATTTCATTCTGCCATCAGTAATTGAGCTCCTCAAGTTAAATACGCAGGGTGGCAAAATATTCCCGTTTCACGGAGCATATCTCTTCCAGGAAGACCGCAGCTTGTGTTGTATTGTTCGATCTGGCTTAAAGGCACAGTTCACAATAATTTCGTAGTACCCTTTTTAAGTTGAAAAGCGGAAGTGTTAATGTAGAGGAGTACATCGGTAGCGAAGAAATCGAAAAAATCCGCCTACTTCAAGCTTTTCGAAAGTAGTAGAAGTAGGGGTTGTACGAGATCACTGCGACAGAAATGGCATGTAAGGGGTTTTTGGACGAGATTTAACTTGCTCCTATCGTGCAAATAGCCGACTACATCCAATCCTAACTATCCAGAATTACCTTCCACTGTCGCTATGGGTCATCTCAAGTTGTTTGAACTTCCTACATTGGTTCCCTTATGAATGGTACAGCCCCTAGAGCCCTTGAAACTCGTCCATTAGAGGTGTGGCATTCAAACGATACAATCTATGATTCCTTCCTGTGCCCTATCCAAAACGTTTTTCGCTCTTATAACGACAGGTATGGTATAAGGAGAGCCTCGAATTTGTACTGTACTAGGGGAATCTCAGAAACCATTTTATCATGAACTGTGTCTTCAAATTAGATCTCAACGATCTTGTATATCAACAAGACGGGAAGGAATCTCCTGCTAGACGATGTTCGTAGTTATAGCACAAAGAGAATTTGTTTTATGTCTAGCGTAGAATGTAGATAATATGATAACGTGAACCTGTTAGTAAATGTGTCCATATGAGGGGGTGGGGGTGGACGGGTGTCAAAGATCGTGTTAGGCGTATGCCGATGAAAGGCCATATGGGAAACGTGTTTGCCCAAAAGCTGCCACCCCTCGCACTTGATCGAAGTCACGCAGCATTCATCTTAATTCGTAAACTATCGTCTTTGTCAAAATGTCGACTCCACATATGGGGGCGTGGCCTGTGATAGTTTTTCCGGGGGTGGAGCATCTTCCAAGAAACACTTTACTATGCTGTATACTCCTTTTACTCTGTAGATCAACCTGAACCTGTATAGTTTTCCTAAATTGTTCTTCTCCATGGGGCCTTCTGGACTTTGACCCCGATAGATTTTTTCACTTGATAGCAGGGTAATTTTGTAAACAAATCATGTCAAATTTGTCAACAAGTCGGTCAAGTACTGGGTACACCGTAGTTGGAGAATATTACTGGTTTTCTATTGGTATTGTTTTATATCATGTCGCCGTGCAGAGAAACAATGCTCTATTGTTGCGAAGCTTCCGTTTTTTTTTTTTGAATGAACTTGAAAAAACGTTCCGCTCCCAGTTTTTGAGAGAAAGCTCGAACTTGAATCTACCGCTTATTCGGCTTTATTGGTAAACAACAGTAAACACTGATCATCTTGTCGGGTTTCATTCAGGGAGCTATTAACTATGGCATAATTGCAATTTATTTTTGCTTTCAATTTTGCTGAGCACATTTGAGAGCAATGAACTTAGAGCCCCTGCGTTTTCCACGATAAGACCCTCTCTTGAAGGCGAGGTAGTTGTAGGTGCGGTATTAATTCGGGTGTTTACAGTAACAGGGCCATCTTAGATTTCTATCTCATCGAACAGCTCCCATTACGAGTCTTTAGGAACAACAGTAATGCCGTCTTCAAGAAGCATACGAACTGGTTGAACCTTGTAGTTCAGCATTTCCTCCCATTCCTTCCGGGTACATGGCGTACTCCAGTGAAACTCAGCAGTAATGGTTTTTCACAGTTTTCTGGTTCCTTTACTGTGAAGGACAAGAAGTAATGTTCTGTAAGAAATCAGTTTGAGATTAGGCCATGCATCCGACCTCTATCGGTATCGTAAAAAACTCTCATCGAGTGGACAAAACTTCGTGGTCGTCTTCAGTCTGAAAGCTACTGAAGTCTCGGCTGGCCCGGGAGCGGGGAGAAGGGGTGGGGTGACGATTGGGGACTTAAGGACTTTCTTCTTTGTTCTCTTTGAACTTCTAACCTCTCTAATACTAGTACTGGGGCACAGATTTGGTAACCTTTTTACCCGATGACTGGTCTCCATGACAACAGCCCTTATAACTACTGCTTGTTGATCAACTAAGTGTAAGAGCTCGTTGGTCACACCTATCAAATGACGTCATTGATTACCATATAAAGGTTGTTTACAGAAGCCATACTAACTTTTTACTTTTTAGTATAAAAAGTACTTCTTATATTTTTTGTTACGATCTACGATTGTGCCTTTGATCTACCGTCAATACTCAGTAGCGAGTTGGCCCTGTAGATGACCCCTGTGGATCGCGCGGGACCCAATTAGCACGAGCTCACATCATTTGAGAGCGCTTTTTCTGTGCAGTCCAGTTGTCCTCCGTGTTTTACAATTCTTTACTAGTAATTCCATTTATAGTAAATGTCTTTTGTGGTAGATTTGAAATAAGGGTCTTTTTAATAAATTTACCTTATTCCAGTATCATTTTCACTGCACTAACCAGCACTATTTCGTTCCAAACGACAAATAAGCTTCACTAACATCGATCTACTGCTCACAAAAGAGATGGGCAGCTGTCAGAAGAAAGGATGTGAGTTTGTACTTAGCTATATTACTTAAAAGTTCTTTTCATTACAATTTTCTTCCGACTTTCTTTTCATAGCTCCTTTCATTTATATCTTTTCTTATAGACAGTAAGATAACTCCATCGACTTCTCGATTACGATGGATTACTGCTACAGTACTTCTATCTGTGGCTATTTGCTACATAATCTATCGGCCATTACCTTCTGGCCTCACAAGGAAACCACTGGATCGGTTCTATATCCACTTATTTGAATCAGCACTAAGAGTCACCTATTACTGGCCTGTGAGTATTCCTTTTTATTCTCACTTGATCATATTATAAGAGAACGAATTCACTAGTCTGTTTAGAGCCGGTTATTTCCAAAAGCTACTACAATGGTCTGGTGGACGCGGTTCGTACTTAACGCTCTATCGCCAATCCTTGGACCATGGGGGCCTGATAGGAATTTGATTGTGGAAACGCAAGTCTGGGATGGAGTTACTGTGAGTTCCAGTTAATTTCGATTGTTTTCACGGCTTCAGTCTCCTTTCATGATGTTATCTGATGTAAAGGACCTGTTATTTACCTCTTATAGCCCTGATTCAGGTTCGGGTTTTCTCGCCTCGTGGCAATGCCTCGACAAATGGAGCCGTGTTTTTCATACATGGAGGAGGGTTTGCTCTTGGGAACATCGACATTTACGATTCCCTCACAAGGCGGATAGCCCATATGTAAGGTTTCTCAAAATAGAAATGAAAATCGAACTCGTATGTTCATCGTAAGGGTTTCTTTCAGGTTGAACTCTGTCGTTGTCTCAGTAGAATACCGGCTATCGCCCGAAACTCCGTTCCCGGGCGGGCTACATGACTGCGAAACCGCTTTAGAACATTTCATACGAATTGCTCAAGCAAACTATGGAGTGGATCCAAAGAAGGTATGCATTTCGTCGTTTTTTGTTTCTGTTGTTTTATCTGGTGGTAGTACCAGTATGTGCTGGAGGTTCTATACTGGTCCTATTATGTAGTAGTAGAGCCTGGGAGCCTCTTACTTCGATGGAGTGGCATCCTAAGCAGCTCAGATGGCGGATTGTGGGTTCAGTTTTAGAGGGCTAAGGCGAGCGGGGGAAATTTCCTCGTCCAAATTGTTCTGTGGGTTGCATTTAGAGTACTGTGTTTGATGGTTTTTGTACTTTCACTTTGTTTGCACTTTCAGTTTTTGTTTTTGTGATCACAAAATACGACCACCAGTCAACAGCTCATTTCATTTCAAAAAAAAAGTTGTAATAATGAGGTCTGACACGTCCCGTGTTTGCTCTGATTGTGTATTATTAGTGCATGGCTGCGTTAATTTCCAATGTTTTGCAATACTTCGGCCTCAGTGGTGGAAGGATTCCGCCGAAAAGCCTAGTGGGATCTATGACCATGGCTTATACCAGAGTATTTGCCACTTCCACTTATATGTAGCCCTCATCCTAGAAGTGTTGCATTAAGTAACGGCTTTATAAAGTGAACCGCTACGCTGTTTATTTTCTATGATATTCCTTGTTACTTGACACCGTGATGTGATACGAGTGATTCCCTGTTAAGATTGTTCTAATGGGAGACTCAGCTGGAGGAAATCTCGTTGCCGTGATCACACAACGACGTCGTGACACGAGGGCAAAGCCTGAAATCCTTGGTCAAGTGCTACTGTATCCTCTTCTCCAACTTGCTGACTTCCAGTCCATCTCTTATCGATATTTCTTCAAAAATCTGAATGGATTGGCCCTTGTCGGTACGTTATAAGACTTTAGATTTATATTGGGCTCTCGAACTCCTACTATTTACAAGTAATTAATGAATTTTTCAGATCCTGAATCGGTCGCTTATTACTACATGTTCTATGCCGGTATTGACATGGATAAACATGGCGATTTGGTAAAATATGCCCTTGTAAATGGTCACGTTGCACCGGAATTCCGTGAGAAAGTGGACAAGGTGAGGTTAAGGTTCCTTGCGGTAAATCCTTTCTGAAAACTCTGTTTAGATTCTCAATTATACTTCGTTTTCTTATCTGAACTACGGGCATAGTGGGAATGATTCGTTGGCTGAAAAAGAACCAGTTGTGTACTCTGAGGAAGCTCAACGACTCCTGGCTCCATTTATTGCCAATCCAAATTTCTCTCCCTTGATGCAAGAGGTTTGTTGTATATTTTGTATTATGTGTGTATTTTTTTGGTGCTCAACGCTGTTTAGCTGTTTATCGTGCCTTTTGTTGCTTCAGGACTTGTCTCGACTTCCTTCCGCATTTGTGATGACGTGTGAGTACGATGTGCTGAGAGACGAGGGAATGTTATACGCCAAACGCTTGAAGGTAATACATACATGGCTATTTCTTCTACCATATTCTACTCGTCTCAGTCAATTTCTTATCAGGACGCTGGCGTCAAGACCGAAGCGCGCAACTACATTAATGGCTTCCATGCAATGCTAAATTTCCATCATGAGATCGATGAAGCTGGAGCGTCTTTACAAGACATTGTGGCCTGGACAAGGGACACTATCGATTCTATATAGAGTGATTAGTAATTCTCGATTACAGTATTCTTTACTGCTCACGTGTTAACGAGTTACTGAACTTGCTGGTTTTTCTAGGATTAGGTTTTATAGCATGTTATTGTCTTTCTTTTGCTTGTTGTCGTTATCATTTGTGGTGTATATCTGTACAGAGTGACTTAGCATTGCTTTTCAAAGTCATTTTTAACCTGGACATAGCTTTAAGCATGTGTTAATGTGTCAGAAAGAAACAATTTTCTTTGTTTATGCATAAATTTTTTAAAGGCACTGTGAGTTTTGTTTCAAGTAAGGTTTAAATTCCGGGATTTTTGAGTTTCTTTGTCTGCCAAAGAAAGAGATTCGGCTATATTGAAGACATGATGACTCACGGTGGTAGAGCCTTCTATCTCTTTGCCGTTATCTGGTTGTTCCAGGATAACCTTGTTCACCGGTATGTGTGTGGGTTACAGGTTCTCGCTTACACTTTCTTTTGGGATTTCTGGTCATTGTGTGGGCCACTGTTTCCACTATTGTGAATTGAATGTCCTAGACGAATGGCTACCCTAGACTCCAACGACAGGCCGACCGACCGACGGCCACGTGTTAACAACATTGGACAAATGACGTTCATTTGGCTTGTGTTGTCCCCACATGGCCAGGGAGGTCGGTCTATCGGTCGG